TTGTCCCAAACCACCCCCCCCCCGCAGTTTTCAAAATATCCCAAACATCCCAATTTCAAGGCCTGAGCCATATTTTGGAGCCAAATTCTGGCTCTCTGCACGTATTCGGAGTTTGAAATTACGACTTTTTATAGCAAACATATGCCAAGTACTGAAAGTGGCATTTGGTCACATATGTTCCAAACCTCCCTGCAGTTTTCAAAATATTCCAAACATCCCAATTTCGAGGCATGAGCCATATTTTGGAGCCAAATTTTGGCTCTCTGCACGTATTCGCCGTTTGAAATTACGAATTTATATACCCAACATATGCCAAGTACTGAAAGTGGCGTTTCGTCACATTTGTCCCAAACCTCCCTGCAGTTTTCAAAATATCCCAAACATCCCAATTTCGAGGCCTGAGCCATATTTTGGAGAAAAATTCTGGCTTTATGCACGTATTCGCGGTTTGAAATTACGATATTTTATACCCAACATATGCCAAGTCCTGAAAGCGGCAGTGAGTCACATTTGTCCCAAATTCCCCTGCAGTTTTTTAAATATCCCAAATATCCCAATTTCGAGGCCTGAACAATATTTTGGAGCCAAATTCTAGCTTTCTGCACGTATTCGCAGTTTGAAATTACGACTTTTTTATGCCCACCATGTGCCAAGTACTGAAAGCGGCGTTTGGTCACATTTGTCCCAAACCCCCCCTGCAGTTTTTAAAATATCCCAAACATCACAATATCGAGACCTGAGTCATATTTTGGAGCCAAATTCTGGCTCTCTGCTCGTATTCGCAGTTTGATATTACGATTTTTATACCCAACATATGCCAAGAACTGAAAGCGGCAGTGAGTCACATTTTGCACAAACTCCCCTGCAGTTTTCGAAATATCCCAAACATCCCAATTTCGAGGCCTGAGAAAAAAAATTTTGGAGCCAAACTCTGGCTCTCTGCACGTATTTGCAGTTTGAAATTACGACTTTTTTATACCCAACATAATCCACGTACGGAAAGCGGAGTTTGGTCACATTTGTCCCAAACCCCTCCCCCCCCCTGCAGTTTTCAAAATATCCCAAACATCCCAATATCGAGGCATGAGCCATATTTTAGAGCCAAATTCTGGCTCTATGCACGTGTTCGCAGTGTGAAATTACGAATTTATATACCCAACATATGCCAAGTACTGAAAGCGGCGTTTCGTCACATTTGTCCCAAACCTCACTGCACTTTTCAAAATATCCCAAACATCCCAATTTCAAACACAGAGCCATATTTTGGAGCCAAATTCTGGCTCTATGCACGTATTCGCAGATTTAAATTACGACTTTTTATACCCAACATATGCTAAGTCCTGAAAGCGGTAGTTAGTCACATTTTGCACAAACTCCCCTGCAGTTTTCGAAATATCCAAAATATCCCAATTTCGAGGCCTGAGCCGTATTTTGGAGCCATATTCTGGCTCTCTGCACGTATTCGCAGTTTGAAATTACAACTTTTTTATACCCAACATATGCCAAGTACTGAACGCGGCGTTTGGTCACATTTGTCCAAAAAAAACCTGCAGTTTTCAAAATATCCCAAACATCCCAATTTAGAGGCCTGAGTCATATTTTGGAACCCAATTTTGGCTCTATGCACGTATTCGCGGTTTGAAATTACGACATTTTATACCCAACATATGCCAAGTCCTGAAAGCGGCAGTAAGTCACATTTCGCACAAACTCCCCTGCAGTTTTCGAAATATCCCAAATATCCCAATTTCGAGGCCTGAACAATATTTTGGAGCCAAATTCTAGCTTTCTGCACGTATTCGCAGTTTGAAATTACGACTTTTTTATGCCCAACATATGCCAAGTACTGAAAGCGGCGTTTCGTCACATTTGTCCCAAACCTCCCTGCACTTTTCAAAATATCCAAAACATCCCAATTTCAAACACAGAGCCATATTTTGGAGCCAATTTCTGGCTCTATGCACGTATTCGCAGATTGAAATTACGACTTTTTATACCCAACATATGCTAAGTCCTGAAAGCGGCAGTTAGTCACATTTTGCACAAACTCCCCTGCAGTTTTCGAAATATCCCAAATATCCCAATTTCGAGGCCTGAGCCGTATTTTGGAGCCATATTCTGGCTCTCTGCACGTATTCGCAGTTTAAAATTGCTACTTTTTTATACCCAACATATGCCAAGCCCTGAAAGCGGCGTTTGGTCACATTTGGCCCAATCCCCCTTGCAGTTTTCCAAATAACCCAAACATCCCAATTTTAAGGCTTGATTCACATTTTGTAGCCAAATTCTGGCTCTGTACACGTATTCGTAGTTTGAAATTACGATTTTTTATACCCAATATATGCGAAGTACTGAAAGCGGTAGTGAGTCACATTTGTCCCAAACCTCCCTGCAGTTTTCAAAATATCCCAAACATCCCAATTTTAAGGCCTGATTCACATTTTGGAGCCAATACCCCCCCTGCAGTTTTCAAAATATCTCAAACATCCCAATTTCGAGGCCTGAGCAATATTTTTTTAGCGAAATTCTGGCCCTATGCACGTATTCGCGGTTTGAAATTACGATATTTTATACCCAGCATATGCCAAGTCCTGTAAGCGGCAGTGAGTCACATTTCGCACAAACTCCCAAGCAGTTTTCGAAATATCCCAAATATCCCAATTTCGAGGCCTGAACAATATTTTGGAGCCAAATTCTAGCTTTCTGCACGTATTCGCAGTTTGAAATTACGACTTTTTTATGCCCAACATATGCCAAGTACTGAAAGCGGCGTTTGGTCACATTTGTCCCAAACCCCCCCTGCAGTTTTCAAAATATCCCAAACATCCCAATTTCGAGGCCTGAGCCATATTTTGGAGCCAAATTCTGGCTCTATGCACGTATTCTCAGATTGAAATTACGAATTTTTATACCCAACATATGCTAAGTCCTGAAAGGGGCAGTTAGTCACATTCTGCACAAACTCCGTCTGCAGTTTTCGAAATATCCCAAATATCCCAATTTCGAGGCCTGAGCCGTATTTTGGAGCCAAATTCTGGCTCTCTGCACGTATTCGCAGTTTAAAATTGCGACTTTTTTATACCCAACATATGCCAAGCCCTGAAAGCGGCGTTTGGTCACATTTGGCCCAATCCCCCTTGCAGTTTTCCAAATATCCCAAACATCCCAATTTTAAGGCTTGATTCACATTTTGTAGCCAAATTCTGGCTCTCTGCACGTATTCGTAGTTTGAAATTACGATTTTTTATACCCAATATGTGCGAAGTACTGAAAGCGGTAGTGAGTCACATTTGTCCCAAACCTCCCTGCAGTTTTCAAAATATCCCAAACATCCCAATTTTAAGGCCTGATTCACATTTTGGAGCCAATACCCCCCCTGCAGTTTTCAAAATATCTCAAACATCCCAATTTCGAGGCCTGAGCAATATTTTGGAGCGAAATTCTGGCTCTATGCACGTATTCGCGGTTTGAAATTACGACATTTTATACCCAGCATATGCCAAGTCCTGTAAGCGGCAGTGAGTCACATTTCGCACAAACTCCCCTGCAGTTTTCGAAATATCCAAAATATCCCAATTTTAAGGCCTGAGCTATATTTTGGAGCCAAATTCTGGCTCTCTGCATGTATTCACAGTTTGAAATTACGACTTTTTTATACCCAACATATGCCAAGTACTGAAAGCGGCGTTTGGTGACATTTGTCCCAAACCCCCCCCCCCCTACAGTTTTCAAAATATCCCAAATATCTCTATTTCGAGGCCTGAGCCATATTTTGGAGCCAAATTTTGCCTCTTTGCACGTACTCGCAGTTTGAAATTACGACTTTTTGTATCCAACATATGCCAAGTATTGGAAGCGGCGTTTGGTCACAAATGTCCCAAACCTCCCTGCAGTTTTCAAAATATCCCAAATATCCCAATTTCGATGCCTGAGGCATATTTTGGAGCCAAATTCTGGTGCTCTGCACGTATTCACAGTTTGAAATTACGACTTTTTATACCCAACATATGCCAAGTTCTGAGAGCGGCATTGAGTCACATTTGGCACAAACTCCCATGCAGTTTTCAAAAATATCCCAAATATCCCAATTTAGAGGCCGGAGCCATAATTTGGATCCAAATTCTGGGTCTCTGCACGTATTCGCAGTTTGAAATTGCGAATTTAATACTCAACATATGCCAAGTACTGAAACCGCCGTTTGGTCAAATTTGTCCCAATCTCCTCTGAAGTTTTCAAAATATCCTAAACATCTAAATTTTGAGGCCTGAGCCATATTTTGGAGCCAAATTCTGGCTCACAGCACGTATTTGCAGTTTGAAATTACGACTTTTTATACCCAACAAATGCCAAGTACTGAATGCGGCGTTTGGTCACATTTGTCCCAAACCTCCCTGCAGTTTTCAAAATATCCCAAACATGCTAATTTCGATGCCTGAACCATAGTTTGGAGCAAAATTCTGGCTCTCTGCACGTATTGGCAGTTTTAAATTACGACTTTATATACGCAACATATACCAAGTACTGAAAGCGGCGTTGGGTCACATATGTCCGAAACCTCCCTGCAGTTTTCAAAATATCCCAAATATCCCAATTTCGAGGCCTGAGCCGTATTTTGGAGCCAAATTCTGGCTCTCTGCACGTATTCGCAGTTTAAAATTGCGACTTTTTTATACCCAACATATGCTAAGTCCTGAAAGCGGCGTTTGGTAACATTTGGTGCAATCCCCCCTGCAGTTTTCAAAATATCCCAAACATCCCAATTTTAAGGCCTGATTCACATTTTGGAGCCAAATTCTGGCTCTCTGCACGTATTCGCAGTTTGAAATTACGATTTTTTTATACCCATTATATGCCAAGTAATGCAAGGGGTAGTGAGTCACATTTTCCACAAACTCCCCTGCAGTTTTCAAAATATCCCAAACATCCCAATTTCGAGGCCTGAGCCATATTTTGGAACCAAATTTTGGCTCTCTACACGTATTCGCAGTTTGAAGTTACGACTTTAGGGGGCATATCAAGGTTAAATTAAAAATTGTTTGATTTGCTTATAAATTTATTTATGAAATGGTTATAGAAAGGGCTGCAACTGGTCCAAGTTTCACCATCACACCCTAAACAGAAAAGGAGAAAAAAATACACAACGTATTATGCAACGAATTTTCAACATTTTCAAATAATTTTAGGGACCACATTTGTCAACTAAAATCATTTCTATAACACTCAGATATTAAAATTAGCACATAATAAAGGATTGTAGTGATCAGTTTTAGGAATAAAAAGTTTAGTGCAATAATATAATTTTTCAAAGTTACCCTTCCAAAAATATGCAATATATGATGTTTATAAATTTTTATAAAATCAACAAATGGACTTTGGACTAAAATGTCTACTAGGTTTTGTAGAAGCACAAACTCTACATATAAGGTGTAATTTGCATGTAAATTGATTAATAAATGAAAGCTATGATGTACTTTGAAGTTGTAAATTACTTACCTGAGTAAAATAAGATCAAAGTTCGGCCACCTGTAACTGAGCTTGACTTCAACAGATTTTGTTCATAATTGGCACCCTTGCAGATAGGCATCCATTGAGCAAGGTGTGCAAGTTCCATGCACATCCCCTGATAACAAACGAAAAAAAAAATTGAAAAAAAAATAAAAAATAAAAAATAAAAAAAAAATTATACATATATATATCCTGCACATACATATTACAAAATACCAGATTATAACACTAAAACATACTAACCTATTGAAATTGGTCTATTGAAACAGTAGATGGCACTGCAACATCAGGCACAGCAGTAGATGGCACTGCAACACCAGCCACACCAGTAGATGGCACTGCCACACCAGTAGATGTAGATGGCACTGCCACATCAGTAGATGTAGATGGCACTGCCACACCAGTAGATGTAGATGGCACTGTCGTGGCCGGTCCATACACATGGAGGGGCTGGGTTGAGGAGGGTGTGTGAGGAGGGTCGAGGCGTGAGGCGGGGAGGCCGCCTACATCCTCACTTGATATAACTCTCCCTTGCGCTACAGCGGCTCTCCTTTCCTGCCAAAGACGGCGACCGCGTGCCAAATTGGCTTCCTTTGTCTTCCGAGCCCTCCGTTTATAGGTCATTGTGCACTAGACGCTACAAAAGCAAGATTTCAGGAGCCAAAATGGAGCACGCGTCGACACCTCCACTCAACAGGACACACCATGTGACTACCTCACTCACCCCCCACTAGGAGACGGTTGCCAATTAGTGTATATTTGTTGTCATATATACATAGTTATTTCCGACGTTATTACGAAAAAATTGACGTTTAGAACGTACGACGCAATACTCTTGGCGCGCCACAGCCGCGGGGCACCGGATTCTGCACAATTACGCATGGAAATGTACCATAAATACTTTAATTTATATCATAACATTATCGTGTTTGCGCCAAAGTGTTGCCAGAACGTTGTAGAATTTTTATAAATTTTTCAAAAATATTCGATTTTTCCGAATTTTTGCGTTTGATATGCCCCCTTTATATGCCCAACATATGCCAAGTACTGAAAGCGGCGGTGAATCACATTTTGCTAAACTCCCTTGCAGTTTTCAAAATATCCCAAACATCTCAATTTCGAGGCCTGAGCCATGTTTTGTAGCCAAATTCTGGCTCTCTGCACGTATTTGCAGTTCGAAATTACGACTTTTTATACCCAACATATGCCAAGTATTCAAAAAGTTGTTTGGTCACATTTGTCCCAAACCCCCCTGCAGTTTTCAAAATATCCCAAACATCCCAATTTCGAGGCCTGAGCCATATTTTGGAGCCAAATTCTGGCTCTCTGCACGTATTCGCACTTTGAAATTACGAATTTTTAAACCCAACATTTGCCAAGATCTGAAACGGCGTTTGGTCATACTTGTCCCAAACCCCCCTGCAGTTTTCAAAATATCCAAAACATCCCAATTTCGAGGACTGAGGCATATTTTGGAGCCAAATTCTAGCTCTATGCACGTATTCGCAGTTTGAAATTACGACTTTTTATACCCAACATATGCCAAGTCCTGAAAGCGGAAGTGAGTCACATTTTGCACAAACCCCACTGCAGTTTTCAAAATATTTTAAACATCCCAATTTCGAGGCCTGAGCCATATTTTGGAGCCAAATTCTGTCTCTATGCACGCATTCGCAGATTGAATTTATGACTTTTTATACCCAACATCTGCCTAGTCCTGAAAGCGGCAGTGAGTCACATTTTGCACAAACTCCCCTGTAGTTTTCGAAATATCCCAAAAATCCCAATTTCGACGCCTGAGCCATATTTTGGAGCCAAATTTTGGCTCTCTGCAGGTATTCGAAGTTTGATATTACGATATTTACACCCAACATATGCCAAGTACTGAAAGCGGAAGTGAGTCACATTTTGCACAAACTACCCTGCAGTTTTCAAAATATCCCAAACATCCCAATTTCGAGGCCTGAGCCATATTTTGGATCCAAATTCTGGCTCTCTGCACGTATTCGCTGTTTGAAGTTACGACTTTTTTATACCCAACATATGCGATGTACTGAAAGCGGCGTTTGGTCACATTTGTCCCAAACCTCCCTTCAGTTTACAAAATATCCTAAACATCCCAATTTCGAGGCCTGAGCCATATTTTGGAGCCAAATTCAAGCTCTCTGCACGTATTCGCAGTTTGAAATTATGACATTTTTGTACCCAACATATGCCAAGTACTGAAAGTGGCAGTGAGTCACATTTTGCGCAAACTCCCCTGTAGTTTTCAAAATATCCCAAACATCCCAATTTCGAGGCCTTAGCCATATTTTGGAGCCAAATTCTGGTGCTCTGCACGTATTCGCAGTTTGAAATTACGACTTTTTATACCCAACATATGCCAAGTTCTGAGAGAGGCATTGAGTCACATTTGGCACAAACTCCCATGCAGTTTTCAAAAATATCCCAAATATCCCAATTTCGAGGCCTGAGCCATAATTTGGATCCAAATTCTGGGTCTCTGCACGTATTCGCAGTTTGAAATTGCGAATTTAATACTCAACATATGCCAAGTACTGAAACCGCCGTTTGGTCATACTTGTCCCAAACCCCCCTGCAGTTTTCAAAATATCCCAAACATCCCAATTTCGAGGCCTTAGCCATATTTTGGAGGCAAATTTTGGCTCTATGCACGTATTCGCGGTTTGAAATTACGACATTTTATAACCAACATATGCCAAGTCCTGAAAGCAGCAGTGAGTCACATTTCGCACAAACTCCCCTGCAGTTTTCGAAATATCCAAAATATCCCAATTTTGAGGCCTGAGCTATATTTTGGAGCCAAATTCTGGGTCTCTGCACGTATTCACAGTTTGAAATTACGACTTTTTTTATACCCAACATATGCCAAGTACTGAAAGTGGCGTTTGGTGAAATTTGTCGCAAACACCCCTGCAGTTTTCAAAATATCCCAAATATCCCAATTTCGAGGCCTGAGCCATATTTTGGAGCCAAATTCTGGCTCTCTGCACGTATTCGCAGTTTGAAATTACGACTTTTTTATACCCAACATATGCCACGTACTGAAAGCGGCGTTTGGTGACATTTGTCCCAAACCCCCCCCCCCTGCAGTTTTCAAAATATCCCAAATATCCCAATTTCGAGGCCTGAGCCATATTTTGGAGCCAAATTCTGGTGCTCTGCACGTATTCGCAGTTTGAAAATACGACTTTTTATACCCAACATATGCCAAGTTCTGAGAGCGGCATTGAGTCACATTTGGCACAAACTCCCATGCAGTTTTCAAAAATATCCCAAATATCCCAATTTCGAGGCCTGAGCCATAATTTGGATCCAAATTCAGGGTCTCTGCACGTATTCGCAGTTTGAAATTGCGAATTTAATACTCAACATATGCCAAGTACTGAAACCGCCGTTTGGTCAAATTTGTCCCAATCTCCCCTGCAGTTTTCAAAATATCCTAAACATCTCAATTTCGAGGCCTGAGCCATATTTTGGAGCCAAATTCTGGCTCTCAGCACGTATTCGCAGTTTGAAATTACGACTTTTTATACCCAACAAATGCCAAGTACTGAATGCGGCGTTTGGTCACATTTGTCCCAAACCTCCCTGCAGTTTTCAAAGTATCCCAAACATGCTAATTTCGAGGCCTGAACCATAGTTTGGAGCAAAATTCTGGCTCTCTGCACGTATTGGCAGTTTAAAATTACGACTTTATATACGCAACATATACCAAGTACTGAAAGCGGCGTTTGGTCACATTTGTCCGAAACCTCCCAGCAGTTTTCAAAATATCCCAAATATCCCAATTTCGAGGCCTGGGGCATATTTTGGAGCCAAATTCTGGCTCTCTGCATGTATTCATATTTTGATATTACGACATTTTATTCCCAACTTATGCCAAGTACTGAAAGTGGCAGTGAGTCACATTTTGCGCAAACTCCCCTGCAGTTTTCAAAATATCCCAAACATCCCAATTTCGAGGCCTGAGCCATATTTTGGAGGCAAATTTTGGCTCTATGCACGTTTTCTCGGTTTGAAATTACGACATTTTATACCCAACATATGCCAAGTCCTGAAAGCGGCAGTGAGTCACATTTTGCACAAACTCCCCTGCAGTTTTCGAAATATCCCAAATATCCCAATTTCGAAGCCTGAGCCATATTTTGGAGCCAAATTCTGGCTCTCTGCACGTATTCGCAGTTTGAAATTACGAACTTTTATACCCAACATATGCCAAGTACTGAAAGCATCAGCGAGTCACATTTTGCGCAAACCCCCCTGCAGTTTTCAAAATATCCCAAATATCACAATTTCGAGGCCTTAGCCATGTTTTGGATCAAAATGCTGGCTCTCTGCACGTATTCGCAGTTTGAAATTGCGAATTGTTTATACCCAACATATGCCAAGTACGGAAAGCGAAGTTTGGTTACATTTGTCCCAAACCTCCCTGCAGTTTTCAAAATATCCCAAACATCCCAATATCGAGGGCTGACCCATATTTTGGAGCCAACGTCTGACTCTATGCACGTATTCATATTTTGATATTAGGACTTTTTATACCCAACATATGCCATGTACTGAAAATGGCAGTGAGTCACATTTTGCGCAAACTCCCCTCCAGTTTTCAAAATATCCCAAACATCCCAATTTCGAGGCATGAACCATATTTTGGATGCAAATTTTGGTTCTATGCACATTTTCGCGGTTTGAAATTTCGACATTTTATACCCAACATATGCCAAGTCCTGAAAGCGGCAGTTAGACACATTTCGCACAAACTCTCCTGCAGTTTTCAAAATATCCCAAACATCCCAATTTCGAGGTCTGAGCCTTATTCTTGAGCCAAATTCTGGCTCTCTGCACGTATTCGCAGTTTGAAATTACGAATTTATATACCCAACATATGCCAAGTACTGAAAGTGGCGTTTCGTCACATTTGTCCCAAACCTCCCTGCAGTTTTCAAAATATCCCAAATATCCCAATTTCGAGGCCTGAGCCGTATTTTGGAGCCAAATTCTGGCTCTCTGCACGTATTCGCAGTTTAAAATTGCGACTTTTTTATACCCAACATATGCTAAGTCCTGAAAGCGGCGTTTGGTAACATTTGGTGCAATCCCCCCTGCAGTTTTCAAAATATCCCAAACATCCCAATTTTAAGGACTGATTCACATTTTGGAGCCAAATTCTGGCTCTCTGCACGTATTCGCTGTTTGAAATTACGATTTTTTATACCCAATATATGCCAAGTAATGAAAGGGGTAGTGAGTCACATTTTGCACAAACTCCCCTGCAGTTTTCAAAATATCCCAAACATCCCAATTTCAAGGCCTGAGCCATATTTTGGAACCAAATTTTGGCTCTCTACACGTATTCGCAGTTTGAAGTTACGACATTTTATACCCAACATATGCCAAGTACTGAATGCGGCAGTGACTCACATTTTGCTAAACTCCCTTGCAGTTTTCAAAATATCCCAAACATCTCAATTTCGAGGCCTGAGCAATGTTTTGTAGCCAAATTCTGGCTCTCTGCACGTATTTGCAGTTTGAAATTACGACTTTTTATACCCAACATATGCCAAGTACTCAAAACGTTGTTTGGTCACATTTGTCCCAAACCCCCCTGCAGTTTTCAAAATATCCCAAACATCCCAATTTCGAGGCCTGAGCAATATTTTGGAGCCAAATTCTGGCT